GGGCCCGGGCCCCGCAGCGCCGGGCCTACCTGCTACCCTCCGGCCAGGGCCGGTCCCCCCCGGGGGATGGGGTCTGTAGGAGAGGGTCGCGGCCCAGGCCCAGGAGGCCCTTTGCAGGTAGAGCCGCTGTCCCCATCCCCGGCTGGGGCCTGGGCTGCCCGACCCCACCGCACCACCCCCAGCTGCCTGCCCTGCTGCTGCTGCCAGAAACATGGGCTCTCCTCCCCTGCCTTACTTCTGCAGGTCCCTGGCAGCTGCCTGCTGTGTATTCCAAATAACAACCAGAGCGTTTCAGAGGGCATCGTAACCATCCGCTAACTAGAGTGTGACCCCCGGGGAAACCCAACGCTCTTTCTAGCGACATAACCAGGGGGAAAAAAGCAGAGGAAAAGGCACCAAACCGGAAGACTGCCTCTCACAAGCTTTGGGATAAATCGGAGCTGCAAACACACACGAAACAACCTCAGCCTGCCTGCCAGCCGCATCCCGATGGCCAGACCCTGAGCCCACAGCCCACAAGCACCGGCGGGAGGCAGAAATGCAGCCAGCTCAGCAGCCAGCCTCGGTCTTAGTGCGGCGAAGCATCTTCAAAGGCAAAATGACAGCTGTTGAGAAATTAAGGAAAAGCCCTTTCCAGAGACCTCCAACCAGTGTCGCAGGCACAAGGACAGATGAGCACCTTGGTCTGCTGTGGAGATGTCAGGGAACGTTAGAAAACCCAGCACTGAAGTTGTCTGCTTTATTTGCACTTTAAAGCATGGAAGAGAAAGTCATGAATAATTTCTCCTGCTCTAGCACCAGGTAGAAAGCTCCTGAAAACATACTCCTGGCTTAGGTGAACCGGAGGGTGACCACAACATTGAATAACTGAAAGGCTATACCCAGCGTAAGAGTATGTGGGAAGAGCTGGGCGCAGAGGATCTGAAGTTTGCTGATGTATCACAACTTCCATGGCAAGCAATTGAGAGCAGTGCTGCTCCAGTAATAGAGCTCCCTGGGGGACGGACAGCTGCAGAGGAGCACGGGGCTTTGATTCAAATAACTCACTGTAGATAAATTAATTTTATATCCCCAACCACAAACTCCGATTAATCCATGATAACCAGATACGACTCCTTTATTCTAATTTTTAAATTAAATTTCTTGGGCTGATACAATATATCAGCTCGAGCTTGCTCAAAGTGAAATGCCCTCCTTGGAAGCACATCCCTCTCCCGCAGTGAGATTTAAGTTGGTACCGGGTACAAACCATCCGCTGCCCACCGACAGTGCGCGGGGCAGGGCTGCAGAGCAGCCCCACAAGGGTTGGGCGGTGGGTGCAGGTGGAGACGTGGATGCCGCTTTGCAGACCCTGCGGAACTGAGAAATGGGGCTGCTGTCCCTACTGCAGCCCCCGAACTTGGATTAGCAGCTCTTTTGGGGGGGGGGGGAGGAGGCAGGCTCGGGTTGAAATTCATTTTCCCCCTTCCTGCACCTCATTATAAGTTCCACCCACATAAGACCTAATTACTTGGTTTTTATGCTGGCAAAGTGGATTTCATCCTTGCTGTTTCCCATGGCAGTTGCTTTCATTTTCATGGCGGCACTGATGGTTACAGCTTATTGATGTTTTCGCTTTAGTGATTTAAAGCAGAATACATTTTGTTATTAGCACTGGTTTCTCTCATTGCTGCTTTAATCAAAGATGCAATTTAAGGCAAAGGATTGTGTGTAATGGTAAACAGTAGGATAATGCCTTGAGAGAACAGAATATTAATGTGTTTTTATTTCTTAAAACTGTGCTTGTAATATATCCAGGATTACTTGGCTCCCAACATGCATGCATGGGGCGCTCCCTTTCCTACCACACTGTCTGCCTTGCAATAGGGGCGAGCGGTCGTGTGCATGTGCGTGCCGGGGCGGGGAGAGGGAGGCAGATGTGCTGCCTTACACACTGCAAAATCCCCTCTGCCGGTGCGTCTCTCCTCCACGGGCACAAAGTCTGAGCATCCAGCATCACGGCAGTGCCCTCGGAGAACAGAAACAAAACCGGGAGCACGCCGAGCGCTCAGGGATGCTCAAGGTCTGGCTGAGCACTAGATCACCCCAAGTCGGGAAAAGCTGCATTCAGACACTGAAATAAAATAGTGGCGATAATGGCAACGCTTGACCAAGGGGTACAGTGCTCGAGAAAGGGTCCTGGTGCCCCACACTAAGCGGGAGAGGGGCAGCCCCTGCAGCCCTGCCACCAGCCACCGCCGCGAAGGGAGGCTGAAAGGCAAGAGGCGAGCACGGCGTCTGCTGCCTCCCCGATGTCCCCGTGTCGATGGCCATGGCTTTCATTTCCTTGGATCTCACAATTTGCATTTCAAGGCAAGATTAAATATTGAAGTTTTGAGCGCTTCCATGTGCTTCAGGAGGAGCCGAACGGACCCGCGCTGGAACAGGCTGAACACAGAAAAGCCATTTGTGCCAAACTACTTGGTTTCCTCTTTGCCGAGCCATGATAATGTGATATCCAACAGCTGAATGTAGGCCACAACAGGCTTTTATAGTTGGAGGGGTGGAGGAGGGAGGGGGACTGAATCCACAGTGCTGCCAGCCAAATGCACTAAAATGATGAGAGATTTTTGGGGCAGGCTGGAGACTCCTGGCCACTCCCGAGATCCAAGTATTAGCTTCACCGTTAGCACAAGCTCAGGGCCTGCTGGAGGGGAGCTTGTAGAAGGTAGAGCTGCGTTTTCGTTGGAAAGGACGTCTCCCTGGCCGGGAGTAAATGCTACATGAAATTACTAGCCTTGCGCTGCACAGACACTGGGATTTGTGGAGTATCTGCCGTAATTGGTGGCCAGCTTCCCATGGGGGCGGCCGCATCTTGCAAGTTAACAGCACGAGAACAACCAGTCGCGGCAGTTTGGTTTAGTTAACAGATTATTCCCGCCTGTTTCTCACCTCCTGGTGACGAGGAGATGAGGGAAGGCTGGAGGGTTAGTCTCCTTTGGCTCAGACGCTGCCTCTGGGGTCTCAGTGCAGCTCAGCGCGCTGCAAGCTAAACCTGGGGCTTGCTGGCAGGAGAAGAGGTGGTGGGAAAGGCAGAGGTTCATCCTGTCTTCCTGAACCAGCGCAGTGCTGGCAGCACGGGGATGGTGCAAGCACCATCTTTCCCTCGAATTGTACAATCTGAGCCCCGAAAATACCCCAGGACCACAAAGCATTTGCCACCAGATTAAGAGTATTAACCCCTGCGGGGGTGAAGTAGCAGCAGTTTCCTTCCCCGCATCCTCCTGCACCTTCATGTGAAACGTAATGGGTACTTTCAACAAGGACTGTGCTGCCTCTGTGCTCTAAAGTCATTTTATGTCCTAACAGGCTGCAAAACAGTTGCCTCGCTCCACCCCAGATGCGGCCGCATTTCTGTGGTGAGGAAAAACTCTGGCAAGTGTGCCGAAGTCGGGTGCTTTGGTTTGAAAATTATACATTGCATTAAAAACCTGTATTAAAGAATAATATGCGGTCTGCAAAAACATTCAAATGAAACACTTCAATGTTAGGAAGTGTCTTATTTACAGCTGTCGGAGCAGCCCGTGCCCTCTTCCCTCCCCTGTCCACATGACAAGGAAAGAGGTCGAAATAGGGGCT